CAGAATAATATTTAAATGAAAGAATTTTACATGACTCATGATAATTAGAAATTATTTGAAAATAATTCTAAACAGAAGGTTTAATTATTAATTGAGGAATATATTAATTAATATAAATTAGGATTTCAAAGAAATCGTAGACCTAGATGATAGAACCTTTGAAATGTATAAATACGTTGTAAATTTCTCTTTCATGTAATCTTTAGTTTTTAACTCAAAATTTTAATTATCTCTGTCTTGAAATAATATTATCATAAAAAATACCTTGTCCTTGTTGACTTTGAAAATTATATTTTTGTAACTAATTAATTAATTACTATCTTACCAGGGTGATGCCTTTGATAAGCATAGTTGTACATATTTCTTTATTTTTATTTCTTTATTTTTATTTTTTGTAGGCAAATGCCTAAACAGAGGAAACCCTAGCTAGGTGTGGTCAGTTAAAAAAACACTGAACCGTCCATACAAACACACCAGAAGTATCAAGGAAGATACTTGAACTATATTATAAAATATAGTTGTGACATGCCGGAAATCGTTGCTGGAAGAGAGGTTAAAACACTTACTCTACAACTCATGGGGTACAGCCTAAGTGAGCTGATTACTGCCAAGACACCAAAGTGTGTAACTAAATAAACACAGAGTCAGTAGGGTGCTGACAGGGCAAAAACATATAAATAACTAAACATACTCAAAGTAAATTGGATACTGTTAGAATAAAACATTATTCTAAAGAAAGGCATACAATTACTAAATACATAATTGTTGTGAGATGAGGAATTTTCATCTCACAATATATATACTTCAATTTTAAAACACTTATAAAAAAACTTACAAAGTGAACATAAAATTATATATTTTGAGATTGTAAACGAGGACTGATGAAGTCTCGAGCATGTCGATCAATCGAAACCAACTTACTGTGGCAGTCACGTGATAATAACATCATTTTCTATTTTATCTTAATATTTTGTGTAACAACTACGCCACACACTGCGCTGTGTTACACATGTATATCACTACATCATTTCTATTTTTAACTTATTTTATGACATAATTATTTACTTTTAACTATTAATTCAATTATTTGTAATAGTGACTCATAGGATTAGTCATTATAAGTCATAGCATTAGTAATTAACGATTAGTAAGCTAGTATTACAGAAAATAGGATTAATAAGCATATTTTATTGGATAAAATATTGTCATGTTATTTGTAATACCTCAAGAGGTATAAAAGAGCTTGGTTTTAGACCAAGTAAGAATTATCATGTTCATGATATAATAATAATAATACAATCATAACCTTGTAACTAAAATATTATCGCTAATAAAGACACATAACACTTTTACAATAAATCAATTATCAACATAATCGTTGATAAACCTTTGCTGAAAAGCATCCTTCACCTTAAATTAAGACCATACTAACTAAGGGACGCCTTAGCTAGACAGTGGAATATTTTTTGAATCATTTTTAGGCTTTTGCCAGCAGTACTTCCATTAGTACTGTAGAGAGAGATTGTGCAATAGAGTTTTGAGTAGGCTCTGAGCTGTGTGCCGTAACAGAGGCCTGAGATAGAGAACTGAGAACCCTGAGCTGTGTGCCGATACAGGGAGATTAATATATTGGACTTTTACTTATTTTATCTTATATTTTATTGGACACCTCATGAGCTGTATTTGAATTTACACACTCGCAATATATAGGGGGTAGGTGTATATGAAAAGTAATAATAAATACAATGGTTCTAATGAATATCAAAAGGCCATTGATTTTTTAGAAAAAGGTTGTGACTGTGGTTGTTCTGAAAGAAATTCCCAAAGAACAATTTGCAGAATTAAGAGAATCCTTCCAAGCTCTTTCCAAGTCTGAACAGGACATATTTTTAATGGCCCAGTTAAAAGCAATGGATGGTGGGTCAATAAGCAGCAGTAGATGCCTTAAGAAGAAAATTAGATCTAATAAAAGAACATTATATCATTGAGATCACAATACACTCCTTTGTCAAGAAACTTATCTCAATATGTTGGGAATTGGTAGGACATATTTTGAAAATATTAAAAATCATCCAATAAACAATGCCACCTGCCAAGAATTCATGGTAATATTTAAAGGATGCCTCAATGGAAAACTAAGATGATGATTGATAAAAATGTTGCTGCAGTAGTAAAAAATTTTCTGGAAAATATGCTGAAGTTCATGGATTACCAAGTCCAGGAAGAAGTATCAATAGAATAACTCAATCAGTTACATTCTTACCAGCTGAAATGAGTTATAAATCAGTGCACAGGGATTTTCTAACTGGTCTGGAAGAAGTTAGTAATTTGAAATCCTTAAAATATGATGCCTTCAGAAAGTTATGACATCAATTGACACCAGAGATTCAAATTATGGGTCCAAGGACTGACTTGTGTGATACTTGTCAGCATTTTAGAGATTGTTTACATTATAATGCTTGTCAGGAGGAAGAAGCCAAAGAATTACTCAAAAGATTTAAAGAACATCTGTCCAAGGTAAAATTAAAAATAAATTATTATAATAAAAATACCAAATTAGCAGAAGAACAAAGAAAAATGATTAATCAAAATTATTCAAATGGTAAAACACAATATTGCAGCATTGATGCTACTGCTCATTATAGTTATGATTGAGCCCAAAATGTTCATGTACCACATTCTGATCAGCAAGTAAGTAAAATTTATTACCTTAGTCCATGTAAAGTTCATTTATTTGGTATTCAAGATGAAGCAGTAAGGGAACAAATTAATTATGTTCTTAATGAAGATGAAATTATAGGAAAAGGTCCTAATGGCACTCTTAGTATGATTTTTGATGGAATTAAGAAATTAAATAAAGGTGAAAAGTATTTAAAGATTACTTGTGATAATGCTGGGGGACAAAATAAAAATAATGTAACAATTTGGTTTTATTTATATTTGGGGCATCTGTAACAAAACCAGACAAAGTGAACATTGGTATTACCAAAAATTTCAGGGATCAAAATTTAGTAATGTGATTATTAAAATCTCCCATTTGTTATCTCAAGTGATATATAGAATTACTCCTAGATAAAAATAATTAATATGAAATTCATTTATATCAGATCTACCATGGAACCCAAGAATTACAGCACCATTATTACACTATGTCATGCAGAATTATAGGATTTAATTAATGATAATTCTAAAAACCAAATGTAGATTCTTTATCATGAACAGTGTTGGAAATTCGTCGATCTTATGATCTGCAAAAAAAAATTTGTGCACATATGAACACAAGAAATTTTTATTTA